AGAATCCATGGTGTGTTCTTCTTGTTTGTTTGATTAAGTATATGAGTAGTCAAAAGAAATTTACCTGGTTCCTTTGGACCGTTGATGAAAGCAGCAGCAGTGTAAGAACCACTAGGTTGCTTCCGATGAAGCAAATTCATCAATTTCTCATAATCTTCTTTGGTGAGCTTGATGTCTTGATCATTCTGATTGGTAGAGGTCATGTTTGCATATCCTCTTCCTCTTCCTTGTCCTGTGGAACCTCTAGTGTTGCTGCTGGGAGGGAAACCATGTTTAAAGAAACATCTTTCTTTTGTGTGCTCTTGCATTCTGCAATAGTTGCACTCGAGTCTGGGTTTCTTGTATCAACTCCAGGAGGCCATCCATGTTTCTGGTAACACACCTCCTCAGTGTGTCCTTCCCTCTTGCAATAAGTACAGTAAGGCCTTTTTCCTGTCGCATTTGGCCTTCTGTTTCCTCCTTGAGCAGCTAGAAGTGGTGACTCTAGACTTGCTGCAACCATCATCTTTCCTTGTTGTGTCCCATACATCTGTCTTTCATGTTGCAACATTCTCTGAAAGACTCTATTGATGTTGGGAAATTCGTCACCAAAAAGAACTTGTGACCTGACTGTAGAAAAGTTCTCATTCAGTCCTGTAAGGATCTTGATGACATAGCTTGTGTCCTGGTATTCCTAACCTTCTTCATAGCTCTGCAGGTAAGGTGGCTGGTGGGAGTACAGTCACATGGGAAGAGTGCCTGATAGTTTTCGAGCTCATCCCTGAGTGTGATGACTCTTCCATAGTACTCTGTGATTGTCTGGTTTCCTTGCTTGAGATTAGACAGAGACTCCTCAATCTCTGCAACCCTTATAATATCACCAGCCCCATACCTAGATTGCAGACTTTTCCAAGCCTCAAAGGTTGTCTTACTAGAAAGAATGGTTTTCCTAATCTCTGTTTCAACAGATTGCTGAATCCAGCTTAGGATCATAACATTGTTCCTGATCCATGCCCCATGCCTTGGATCTGTTGGATCTGGCTCAACCATAACACCACTAACAAACCCCAACTTGTTCTTAGCAGCTAGTGCATTATACATCGCTCTACTCCAATCATTGTAGTTTGTAGTGTTAAGTTTCTCTGCTACTAAGAGGATACCTGGTTGGTCAGATCCGTGAAGAAAATAGGGGTCCTCCATCTGGTAGAGTTGTTGATGTTGCTCCTGTGCATTGTTGTTGTTTGCTTGCTCATCCTCATTGTTAGCTGGCTGATTTTGTGGGTGTGGATCATTGTTGTTGTCTGCCATGGTTTCACTAGCGGCGGTGGCGAGCTAGGTTGAGCAACCAGGCTCTGATACCATAACAAAGTTTTAGTTTGGGTGAAACCCTAAGGCCTGATTTCTCATTCATCAGATTTTACAATATATAGGGAGGCTGGTTGCTACAAGACAATCATGGCCAGCCTGCTCTGTCTCCATATATTTTGTTCTCTTTACTTGAAAGGGAAACAAACCAAAAGCTTGACGAAAAAGAAAGACAACACTCAATATAGAACCCAACGACACCGTTGCACATAAACGGTGCGTTTTACATAAAACGAAATCCCCTTTTGTTCAACGTCTTCTTCCTTCCAACGTCTTCATCTTGTCTGCTGGTTTTGAAATTTCAATTGGCCTGTCCTGTTAGGAATCGAAGGGGAGTAACAAAGCCGAAAGAGAACCAACCGTGTCCGATATTTCTACCTTATGGAAAGGACAGAGAGCATGCGATTCGTCCCGTCCAGAACGTTGTAGCTGAAATCGGAGTCCGAATCGCAGCAGTCTAGGTCCGATGAATCGAATACCGATCGCTCGCCGCCTACAGTGTAGTCGTCGTCTTTTTCTTGTTCTTCTTCAACTTCTCGTCCTCCTCTCGGAAACGTTGATGCTTGAGTTGTTATTTTATTATTTTTTAATTGTCACGTCACCTATTTAATGGTCAAATTTCAGAGTTGACTGCCACGTCAGTTAAAATTAATGGAGACTAACGGAGAGTGACCCAATTTGAACGGTTGAATTAATTTTAGTGACCATAAATGAAATAAATTAATTTTAGTGGCAAACGTGATATTTTTTAATAATTCCAGTGACCAAACTTGCAATTTAGCCGTAAAAAAAAGACGTCAGGCCGGGATACAAGCCGCCGTTCTGGTTCGCCGTTTTCTTCTGTCAGTCGACGTCTCGAGTCTCGACGCCAGTTTCCTCCCGCGCTTAGACTTCGAGTGCGGATCTGGTGACTAAGGGGGGTCCTTAGTCACTTGACTAAGCCCCTCCTAGCCATTAGATTTGGACACTTCAATCCAATGGTTAAAAAGTGGGAAGGGCTATTTAATTAATGACAGGGGTAGTTTGGGTATTATGAAAAATTGCGAAGTATACAAACCGGATTTACAATCAGTACAAACCATACACACATACGAACAGTATAAACTAGAGCGACAAAACATACAAACAGATTTACAAACATTACAAATGTATGAACTGTACAAACAATACAAACTAGACTGACAAACAATACAAACCATACAAAAAGAAAAAACAACCGGGTTGACTTTGGAGGCTCCATCCCTATATAGAGGGGCTCCTTCCCAAAGTCAACCCGGGTGTTTTTTAGACATACAAACAGTACGAACATGGTGGAAAAAAACGACAAACTAGACCGACAATCCATACGAACTGAAAAAAACACCCGGGTTGACTTTGGAGGCTCCATCCCTATATAGAGGGGCTCCATCTCAAAGTCAACCCGGTTGTTTTTTAAACATACAAACATTACGAACATGGTGGACAAAAACGACAAACTAGACCGACAATCCATACGAACTGAAAAAAACACCCGGGTTGACTTTGGAGGCTCCATCCCTATATAGTGGAGTTCCATCCAAAAGTCAACCAGGTTGTTTTTTAGACATAAAAAACATTACAAACATGGTTGACAAAAATAACAGAGTTTACAAACATTACAAAAAAACCGACAAACAGTACAAAGCATACTAACCGTACAAAAATGTCACTAAAAATGACAAACAATACAAACCGAATCTATACAAACATTACAAAATAGGTCAGCAAACATTACAAATCCAACACTGTCGCCGGGAAATTTCCTCCGGTCTGCGGAAAAGTATCCTCCGGTGATTGCATGGCATGGGAAAAAATTCCCATGGTCCCTGTCGGAAAGGGCCGCCTGTCTGGAAACAATTTCCCCTTCGGAAAGGGAAGCAGGACGGCGGGCGGACGCGCAGGCCCAATTTTTTTTAATTAATTCATAAATAAAAACTATAATTACCACCTTACCCTTCATTAAACTAGATAAATCTGAGCCATTGGATTTGAATGAACTTCAATGGCTGAGATTGGCTTAGTCATGTGACTAAGGGGACTATGATCTTAGCCCCTTAGACTTCCCTTCGCCGGGTTTAAGATTCTGGAGATTTTGAACTTTTCGCTGCTTTCTAGGGTTTCTTTCTTTCTCCTCCCTCCTGGTTCTGAAATCTCGGTGGCGGAAAAATGGACGTCGAAATGGAAACTTCGCCTGGCTACGAAGACCTCACCATCAGAGAAAAGTTTCGTCGCTACGGGTACTCCTGCTGAACCTGTCATATTCAACCCTTTTCAACTCGCTATTCTCAGTTCGCTTTATTCTTTAGGAGTCGCTGTATTGTCAGGTAGCAGGAGGATTATAGACGACTGAATTGAATTTATGCAGTTCTCCTGCGTGGTTGATTTCGTACTGTGATTATTGAACTCCGCAGGCTAGGGTCTTCTCTCTATTCAGTACACTCTTGTTCATTGTTCTGCGAATCTGATTTTCCCCCCTTTGCCATATTCGAAGGCTCTTCACCCCCCCCCCCCCCCCCCCTTTCTCGTGAAGCAAATGGAACTCTGAATCGTTTTATTGATTAGATATACGAGAATGAACTGTGTGTTCTTGTATGTTATTGAGTTTCTATATCTTAATACGTTGTTGATTTTCTGAGAAAGCGTGCTGTATGCAGTAAAAGGCACTCGATATCTAGCCCAAGTCAAGACAGTACGAATTCGAAGTTCAAGGACTCAAGACTACTGTATGATGGGCAAAACATACACAGTCCCACAAATGCTGTGCTTCTGCTAGAGGATATTAAACAAGAGGCTGATGGTTTGGGCTCTGATCACTTTGATGCCACACCTGGGAAGGTGCAAGCTTCGGGTAAAAGGAGGATGGCGATTGATGGATTTTCAGAGAGTGATCTCATTGTTGATCCAGAACTCCAGACTGGAACTAAATTGCTCAAAGCATGCAAAATGGAGGAAGAATCAGCTGACAGCGGAGAACCTGTGTTTGGTCTATTCGCATCTCTTCTGGATTCTACTATTCAAGGTCTCATACCTTTTAGTTTAGTTTACGTTCTAATCTGTGAATCTTAGTGGGAAAACCTGGGAGAAATTGTTAAGATTCGAGAGTGGTAGTGGACATATTGTCTTGTTTGAGCAGTGTTCTGATTGAGTTGTGATGCGGGGACTGTCCACTTATGCTTTTTAGAATAGTAGCTTGTCTGTGTTTTGGTAATGGAAGTTGGTCTGATACCAGAATGGACTGCTTCATCAAGGACAAGTTATCTTTCTGCCTTCGCAGTCATCTTTTAACTTTTTGTGAACAGCTTACCTTGCTGTCTATGTTTTATTCCGTGTGATACTGGTTGGAATGGTTTTAGAGTGGTAGTTCTTTGGAAGGTCGGAGCATAAAGTTTTAGGTCTCAAGAGTTTGCTTGCACTGCTGTTGAAATATAAATACCAAGTTGCTTTCGTGTATGCTCTATGTCAAATCTCTTTAGTTTCATCTTTGTTTAAAATGAATCTATCTAATTTTAACTAGCGTAGAAATGAAATCACTTTAAAGTATTTGAATTGTAGACACTATCGTATAAATCAATCTAGTGGTCTTGGCTCTGCTACTACTTAGTGACTGATTGAAAGGCTCATTTCCTTGTCTTCTGTAGGCTTGATGCCAATTCCAGATTTGATTTTGAGATTTGAGAGATCATGCCGTAGTGTATCGGAAGATATAAGGTGAGTTGCATATAATATGGAATACATACATGTCTTGACCATGACTTGTCAGTCTTTTTAGTGCAGACTATTACGTTTGAAAACATTTATTCTCCAGATTGTCCCTCTCTGTCTTCATGATTGGAATAAGTAAGATCAGTTGTTTGGCTTCACTATATCATCAGGGTTCTTTGTTATTGCTTGTACAGGTCCCAGTCAAACAGAAGGCATCGAGTTCTAGAGGACAAATTAATGCGGCAGAAGGTTCAGCTCCTGCTGGATGAGGCTGGCACCTGGTCTCTTCTGTGGTACCTCTATGGGAAATGTGAGTTTTTTTTTTTGTAAAAGTTTTCCCATTTGCAGCATATGTCTTGAGTGAGATTTTGATAGAAATATCATTACTGTCTTTGCATCTTTGTGTTTGAATGTTGAGTGGATGCTAGTATTAATGCGGGGCACAGTCTCGTTGGTAACATGGTATGCGTCCCAGTATATGTCAAACTTCACTTAGTTGACAAAGGAGGGGGAGCTTGATGGTGAAATACACTTTTTGATCTTTTGTTTTTATGTTGTGAAGTGACCTTATGTTTCTAAAAGTTGATTGCAACAAGAATGGACGCTATGAGAAACTTCTCTTCTAAATTCCTGTAGATTTACCATCTTATCCTTAGCCACAGGTCCACCCTGTTACTATGCTATATTTCTAATTTGCTCTCCTAGATTCTTCTTGAAGATAGAGGAACCTATTACCAGTCTTTCTTTTTGTCTTTCTGCACCTCTCATGTGCATTTGATTCATGAATTCTATATGTTACTTTCTGATCTTGGTTATCTGTGGATAATGACACTCAGAAATTTTCCTATTCGTCTTAACTCTGATGTTCGTGGTCCATGAACCTTGTCATGTGGGTTGTGGTGTTGATATAAATCCATTATGCTTCTTACAGCGACAGAAGAACCTATTGAAGACCTGCTTGTGGTACACAATTTCTTTTCTCAGAACCATTATGAAAGAATACATTAAGGATGCTTTTCTGAAATTTCTGCTGGTTCACTCTGACTTACTAAAACTACCAATTCAGAATGGTTGTTCACTGCTTTGTCTTCTGAACTATTTGAAGGGATCCATTTATACTACCCCAAAACTCGACCCCACGTAATCTCATGGATTCTTTGTTTGTTTTCGACAGTCTCCATCAACGTCACATGTAGAGGCGTGCCAGTTTGTTGTAAATGACCATACAGCACAACTTTGCCTCCGTATCATTGAGTGGCTGGAGGGCTTAGCCTCCAAATCCCTAGATCTTGAAAGCAAGGTGATTCCTAAGTTCATTGCATTTTCGATTTGCGTCTTTAGATTTTTTACTTGGCTCCTGCTGTTGGGTTAGCTTTCTGTTCTTTATCTGTGCATGGAGCAGTATTTCTGACTGAAACTTGCTGCCCCCATATAGGAAGATGTTCTGATCCGGATATTTAGCTTTTAGGTGATATTGGTTTAACAGGGGACAGACCGAACATCTTTGCTTCAACATCTTATTATTACATTTTATCCATAGTGTATACTTGTTTTACAAACCTTATAAAGCCCTGGTATCCAAGGTAATTTAGTATCCATCAAATGTGAGGCCAGCACTCTTTTGAAGGCCTTTAGGTGCAAAGAAGATGGGTGAATTTTGTTGTCCCCCTCCTTCCTGATATTCTATCTAGGTCTGACATTTGATTGGAATTTTTGAGTTTGTGAATTCTATTTGAAATGGATATTGACCTAGAATCACAGGTACGTGAACCTCGTGTTGGTACATATCTTCCTAATTCTGGAATTTGGCACAATACGCAACGATTGCTGAAGAAAGGTGCATCCACTGTAAATACTGTTCATCACTTGGACTTTGATGCTCCAACTCGTGAACATGCTCACCTGCTACCAGATGATCAGGTATCCTGTCTTTGTTCTTCGCTATTGAGATTTATGTTAAACTTATGTTTTTTCAATCAATGAAGGAATCTTTTGTTAAAAAATTGTTTTGTCTTTCAACTAGCCATAGATATACAAGTTTTTGTCCTAATAATTTATGTGATAGCCTTGATTTGAACATGGATAGTTTAGGAAGTTTTTGTCGAATTTAGAATATACCATGATTGCGTTTCATTCGCTTAAAGCAGCAACAATTATCTCCGTTTACAGAAACAAGAGGAATGTCTTTTGGAGGATGTGTGGACATTGTTAAGGGCTGGAAGAGTAGAAGAGGCATGTGATCTTTGCCGCTCTGCTGGGCAGGTATTCAATACCAGTACAGGTTTTCATAACTTTTAGAAAAAGTACTTTATTAGTTCTCATTAGCAAATCAGGTCTTTTTTGCTTCTGGTATCAGTCATGGAGAGCTGCAAGTTTAAGTCCTTTTGGAGGATTGAACATGGTTCCTTCTATCGAGGCTCTTATGAAGAATGGAAAAAGTAGAACCCTCCAAGCCATTGAGCTTGAAAGTGGCATTGGTCATCAATGGCGTCTTTGGAAATGGGCTGCATATTGTGCATCAGAGGTATTCCTACTTGGAACTTGTTTTCGGTGTTTGAGTTATCAAATTTAGCCATTTTGGGTATGTAGTTCTGTCATTTGTTCTACCCTCAAATGGTTGTGGCATGCTTCTAGTTACTTTTCTTCTGAGACAATTTTCAGTTTCTTTTTTTTTGGTAGAAAATTTTAGTTTCTCGTTGGAACTTATATAAGATTGTTATAGTTCACATTCTTCTGTACGAAGTGGTGCATCATGGTTCCATGTTTATTTCACATGAGCTTCACCTTTTAAGAAAAGTGGGATCCTTAATTATACTGACCTACGAACCATCTTTTATTGTATCCGTCCTCATTGTGATTGGACATAGGTGATAAGATCGGGTTGAATTTGATTTTCTATTGTTATTTTGCAGAAAATTGCAGAGCAGAATGGCGGAAAATATGAAGCAGGTGTGTATGCAGCACAGTGTAGCAACTTAAAACGGATGCTTCCAATTTGTACGGACTGGGAGGTGAACACTTTTTTCCTTTTATATCCTGATTTTAAAGTTTGTTCATCATACTCGTGAAACTCGTTTTTGTGGATATGTGGATCTATTAGTATAGTGTTCTTCTTAGCTGGTATTCATCATATTTAGTGCTAGCTATCTGATTCTTAGTTTCTGTTCACTGGTACTCAGAGGATTTGTTTGTTTTCTATTATTTGGTATCTGTGGGATTTTATAGTGGTTCGGCTTTTTTTCTACACCATTGGGTTAATATCTAAATGCCTAATGTTTTGTTTAAGTTCCTTATTAACCTCTTTATTTTTAGCAATGGAAGAATTTTAATTCCACCTCATATCTTGCAGTCAGCTTGCTGGGCAATGGCCAAGTCGTGGCTTGATGTTCAGGTTGATCTAGAGCTATCTGGCTTACAACCTGGAAGGTTCGAGCAGCTTAAGAGTCATGGAGATAGTACTGAGGGCAGTCCTGTTCAAAATGACAATGGCCCTCATGGTTCAGGTGGACCACATAGCTGGCCACTACAGGTCAAGAATCAGCAACCAAGGAATCTTTCAGCTCTTCTTCAAAAACTCCATTCCGGGTGGCTTCTTCATTACCTATTTTATTCCTTCTACTAAGTGCTTACTCTGTTTTATTCTTGAAAATGCTAACAGCTGAAATTTTGCTCTACCCAGGGAACTGGTCAATGAAGCTGTTATTAGAGGGTGCAAGGAGCAGCAGCGGCAAATTCAGGTGCTCTTCTTGAGAAACAATTTAGTACTTTTGTCTCTCAAGTGTGCATAACTACTGATTTGAGATACTCCGTCCATGTTTAAGTCATTTAGGTTTTTATAACTCTAGCAATAAAGGAACCAAATTCCCAGCTACGAGTTTAAAATTATTATAAAGCTTTATGCCACTTTAGTTTCGAATTCCCGTTTTTATAGTGTTGTAAAGCCTCTACAAATTAATAACCTACTATAAATTCATATTTGATCCGGTCCTTACTCGAGCCAATGTAAAATATGAGAAAATTTAATAGAATATCAAGGCAATAGTTATTGATGATCAACCTACATAAATACATGTATTCTCAATTCTAAAATTAACAATTATAGAATAAAAATACAATTCATCAAGAAATTTGTAATATAACTATGCTTATCTAAAAAATACGATGAATACTTAGAACCCGATAAGTTATTTTATAAACTTGGAATATTTAGAAGATACAATGAATATTTATGGGCGTAATCGAACTAATTATGTATGATGTATGAATTTGAGTTATTAAGAGAATACAATGAACCTTAAAAGTTAAGTTTATCAAACTACAACAAATTATATTATTATTGAAAAATTGGCCTCCATGTATATTACTTATGAAGGCGGTCGTAAGGTGAATAAATGTCTCAACCATGTTCACTAGGAGAAAAACCACTTTAAATTAACAAATTGTTGATTTATCTATTAATTAATAACTACTATTAATTACTAAATTTCACAGTATCGATTATATAAATTTATAAAGGTCTTACTGTGCTTATTGCCTTATTCTGTCTGAAAAAGAGTTACTATAGTCTTTTTAGTTTCTGCAGCAGCTTTTCGCTGTTTGCTCTGATAAGATAGTACTTTGCAGATGAATATGATGTTGGGGAATATTCCACACCTACTTGACATGATATGGTCGTGGATAGCACCTTCTGAAGATGATGAGAATGTCTTCAGGTCTGGTGTTTCACAAAGCAGGATAAATCAGCGAAGCCTTCCTTTTTCTAGACCGTTAACCTCCTCTTACTAACTATAGTTCTTTGCCAATGCGATTTACCAGGCCTCATGGTGATCCTCAGTTGATACGGTTTGGTGCTCACCTAGTACTTGTGCTTAGGTTTTTACTTGCTGAGGAAATGAAGGATTCCTTTAGAGAGAAGCTAATGAACGCTGGTGATCTCATTCTACACATGTAAGCTTTTGTAGTATCAGTTATGACTTAGTTGCTGTGTACATTGAGTGGATAAATAATACCGATGAGATTAAGTAGTGGGCGTAACTTGGGATTGATTTATGTTAGTTGCCTTAATATACAATGACTGAGACCATAAAAGGGCTAGACATTGCGCTGGCAGACCTGACCATTTGTGCCATAGTCTTGGAATAGTCTGTAACTTTTATATCTAATTATTATTAAAAAAAATCCTGTAATAAACATTTGTGGCATAGTCTGTGCAAGGCCACTTTGTTAACCTCTGCTTGTGTTCATGTTGAAAATGTCATTTGAGATGTTAAACAGAGTTGTCCTGCTGATTTTTTCCTTGTAACCCTCCTTCCAGGTATGTCATGTTTCTATTCTCCAAGCAACATGAGGAGTTGGTGGGCATTTATGCTTCTCAGCTTGCACGTCATCGTTGCATTGACCTCTTTGTGCACATGATGGAACTAAGGATAACCAGCAGGTAGAATTGACTTCTTACTTGCGCTACAATGCATTGTTCTTGTATGGTCACGGATTCTCACATAGAAAAAGCAAAGTTCAATCATCTCTTTTAGCTAAACTTATGCATTCTGTTGTGGTTCTGGCTTGTTGAGAACTGGCTTGCTTATATCTATGTTTGAAACATATAAGGCACTAGCTTAATTGGTATACATATAAATGAGCTATGGGAATAGTTCTTATAGGCTATACCTGGAAGATCTAGTCTTAAACTAGGAGATATGGTGATAAGCCTTTTAGGTGAATGTTGATTTCGATCTGGAGATTCTGCTCTAACACCCTTCCTCCTTTTTCTTGACATGCAGTGTGCATGTGAAGTACAAGCTTTTTCTTGCTGCTATGGAGTACCTGCAATTTTCTCCATTAGATGATTCCAAAGGTAGCTTTGAAGAGATTATAGAAAGGTACGTACTAGTTGGCGTGCATCTTTTGACGTCTGAATGAAGATAAACAGGAAATCATATATCTTAACAGTTTTTTTTATAAGGATCTTAACAGTTTATTCATTATCACAAACTATTCTAACAGGATTCTTTCAAGATCTCGTGAAATCAAAGTTGGAAAGTATGAAAAGTCAGCAGAAGTGGCAGAGCAGCACAGGCTGCAGAGCCTCCAAAAAGCTACGGCTATCCAATGGCTGTGCTTTACTCCCCCATCAACTATTACCAATGTCGAAGACCTTGGTGGAAAACTTCTTATGCGGGCATTGATACACAGGTGAGTGATCCGCATTTTAAGCCAAGCTGCATGGTGTTGTTAACATATGATTAATATATTTCATAGTATGACTGGTAATGTGGGTAATCTATTCCAAAAGATGGAGTGAAGAAGGAACTTTTTTTCAGCAATATTTGTTGCAAATAGATGCCGTGTTAAGTGGTTTATCCTCTTTTTACTGGATGCATATTAGTTGAGAAATTTGCCATACGAAATCTTAGGTTTCTGTGGGAATGGAGGAACCAGTTGGATAGAAAGTGATATATATCAGTGTCCTGGTTCCTTCCTTTTGCCCTTCCATAATATATTAATGAACAGTTTTTCTCCGCAGCAACATGCTCTTCAGGGAATTTGCTTTGATTTCCATGTGGAGAGTACCAGCAATGCCAATAGGTGCACATGCATTGCTTAGTTTACTTGCTGAGCCTCTAAAGCGCCTTTCTGAATTTCCAGCCGACTTTGAGAACATTTCTGAGAACCTAAAAGAGTTCAACGACTGGGTACCTTCCATTGTTAAAATTTCTGTGTTTCTTTTTGTTTTGCTCCGTTCTGTTAGTGTTCTAATTTGGTGTTTTCTTGTGTGATTTGTTGTAATAGAGTGAGTACTATTCATGTGACGCAACATATCGTAAATGGCTTAAAGTTGAACTCGAAAATGCGGAGGTATCCACCACCGAGCTTTCTATGGAAGAAAAACATAGAGCTACTTCAGCAGCCAGAGAGGCGCTTGATTGTTCTCTGTCTCTACTACTAAGTACGCTAGCTCCATCAAACCTTTTTTACATGGTGGTACTGTCCACAAAGTGATTGAAATGTTCTAATGCTTTAAATCATTCGCGCAGGAAAAGAAAATCCTTGGCTAGCTTTTATAGAAGATCATGCATTTGAATCAGAAACTCATGTGTACCTCGAGTTGCATGCCACTGCAATGCTCTGCCTACCTTCAGGTGAATGTATGTGCCCAGATGCTACCGTTTGCACTGCATTGATGAGTGCTCTTTACTCTTCTGTGGGTGAGGAGGTTGTGCTTCATCGTCAATTAATGGTATGGATAATTGTCTTTTTCCTCATTAAGTTAACCCAATGATGATGTGACTTACGCCAATGAGTTGAGTGAGATTGTTTTGAATAACATAGTGGTTTGGTAACTCCAAGAATGTGGGTCAAGTTGGTGAAAAACTATTTGACATGTTGCGGGTAATTAAACATTTGTCCTAAAAATTGCAGGTGCCTGATGAACTGATATCAGACTGATAAAATTGAGCACTCAATTTTTTGTCCCTTTCATGAGGTTTCCTAATCATTGTTATCTGGTGTTTGTGATCGACAGGTAAATGTTTCCATCTCGGGGAGGGACAATTATTGTATTGAGGTTATTCTGCGGTGTTTGGCCGTCGAGGGCGATGGACTTGGACTACTCCAGGCTAATGATGGTGGTGTTCTAGCTACTGTTATGGCAGCTGGTTTCAAAGGTAATCATGTCCTTTCCATGAGGGTTTCCATGAGGTTTATATTACTGAAGTCGTGTTATGAGGTAGGGAGATGAGGTCAAAACCTGGAACTGAAGCTATCGTCGGATGGATGGGCATTTCGGTTCACACTGGATTGAATCGTACCGAATTGTCATTTTGATCGAATTGGAACCGAAGTTAATATGACTCGGCTTCTCAACCTCGAGGCCTTTTCTTTTTACTCCATTGATCCTCTTAAAAGTTATCTTAAAAGAAAAAAGTGGATGGAATCGAACCGGACCAGTCTGAAATGTGTTTACTAAGCTTATGAACCGATTTCGGTCTTTCTTTTCTCTTCATATCTGAATTGCATCGAATATACCTTGCAAGCCCTATATGTTCTTCACAATTCATTCACATGCAGATGTAATCTGTGATATTCATGTTGCTGATAAAATGCTAACATGCTGTATGATCTTTAGGTTTAAAAACAGGATTATATAGAGGCAAAATTTTCGAGTAGGTGAAAAGTGATGACATTATATTGATTCAGTTATGTTTGTCTTTGTTGCAGGGGAGCTTAGCCGGTTTCAACCTGGAGTTACAATTGAAATATCCAGATTAGATGCTTGGTACTCAGATGCAGGAGGTACCTTGGAAGGCCCTGCATCTTACATCGTGCAGGGACTTTGCCGCCGGTGCTGTCTGCCGGAACTAATTCTTCGATGTATGGAGGTAAGCATGTAACCTGTAAGGCTGTACGGGCTAAATGTTTTCTTTTAAGATTCAGAGCTATTTATTGGCGATTTCAACTCTCTCCATGGCCTGTCAGCTGGTATCATATTTGCAACTTTGTGTTTACGAATTGTGGCATTTTCTTAGGTTTCGGTCTCTCTAATGGAATCCGGTAACCCACCTGAGAGCCATGACGAGTTGATTGAGCTTGTCTCCTCTGAGGAAACTGGGTTCGTCCATCTCTTTAGTCAGCAACAGCTGCAGGTGCGTCGACCACTTTTTCAAATCAAATGACTTGATTCTCCGTGATTCTTATTCTCTGTTGATGTTCCAGAAAACCTACCTTTTTCTTTGGATTACTCAAGATTCAACTTGCATTAGCAGTGCCTGAAACAGATTGTTTACAATCTAGGAACATCTTACCTTTTTCCTGTAACTTCATTGTTTCTTTTCCCCCCTCCTTTTTTTTTTTTTTTTTGAAGCTGACAAGAAATTTATGATTTGTTGACTCAGGAATTTCTGTTGTTCGAGAGGGAATACAACATCGGCCAAATGGAGCTGCAGGAGGAACTCTCATCTTGATGACGAGTTGCTTCATTCACCTTTCTCTTCTGCCATCTCCTGCCTACCTGCGTTAGCTTCCCGCCTAAACATATCGATGGTTCTAAATCTAATCAAAATGATAGATACTTCCATGAATTTGATTCATTGTGGTCTGTTTTCTACACTGTTCAAGCTTCTCCACTGAAATGGAAATTGCAGCCAGGTTAAATGAAGGGTTTCCTTTCAATTGTATGCAGGAGTGGAAGCTGATGGTTTTCTCAGTTTTAGACTCGTACGATGATGGTACATCGGTTTGTTGGTTGTTTGTAAGCAGTTCCAGGTCTCTGGGGGGTTCATTGTGGGTAGATAGAAAGAAGAATGTACTCTGTTAAAGGCAAAGGGATGTGTCTGTGGTTATAGTTGAATGGGCATACGCTGTTGCGGTTTAGTATTTTTGTACTGATTTCAGCTGCTAGCAGTAAGCCTCAGCCAATTCTCACTGTAATCAATTTCGCTATTTGTAAGTTTGTTTAAATTAAGGGGCAGTAAAACTAAAATTAGTGTGGTCAATTTGAAGTTTAAACATTGCCTATGCCTATGTGGTCAATATTTATTTTATATTTTCAGATTCTTTTTTCACCACAGTCGCTAGAATCCGTTCATCTTCTTCCTCCTCGACGGAGCTGAGGTATCGTCCGACTCACACCCCGAACATCCCTCCTCCTCGTCCGCTGCCGCGGCTAACACAAACCAAGCTCGTCTCTCGCTCCCCACCTCCCACCACCAGCCCATGGACTGTGCAATGTTTTTTGAATAGCAGCGATTTCAGTGGGGAAGAAGAAGAAGGAATAAGGAATTGGGAGTGAAAAGGGAACTTGTAGAGAGAGAGGCCCCGATTGAGGAATCGACTGCTAGGGATAGTTGCAGTGGTCGATGATAGGATTTCTCCTCCCTTTGACTCATCGAAATCCGTGTTAGGGTTAATTGCAACTCATGGTCACTAAGATTAGTTGAATAGTTCAAGTTTGGTCACTCTCCGTTGATCTCCGTTAGTTTTTGCTGATGTGGCAGTCAACTATTATAGTTGACCCTTAACTGAGTGAGATGGCCATTAAAAAATAAAAAAATAATAAAATTTAAATATTTACAATTTGCACCTCATTTTACAACTATTAAAAAATAAAAATAAAACTTAATAGATGGCCTCCGCCATCTACGCCACCGCGATTACAATCCATACTCTGCTTTCTGGAGCTGCTGATTTACCTTGGATTGTCGTTTTTCACCAAGCTAATCTCCTTCCATATTCTCCGGTAAGTAGAAGAACCACTCTCACTAACTCTTCTTTCTTGAAGCTTCAATCTCTTCCGTTTCTGCCGATTTTTAGCTTTCAATCTCTTCCTACGGCGAAGCCCCTGGCTGCTTGCTTCGATTTGGCTTTTCGAATCACCGCCGGCTACTTCGGACTCGGTTTTTTTGGTTTACAATTTGTTATCGGTACTTTCGTTAAGCGATTTTCCTGTGTCGAGTTCCTTCCTTGCTTCTTTTGATTTTGATTTCCGGCTTCGTCGGAAAATTCTAGACTGAAGTCCGAAAGTGAGGAAGATGTGAAGTGCTTGATTTTAGGATTGGTATTAATTGCAGTCCATGCTCATTGAAAACAGAAAATTTGAGGTTATATAAATATTCCAACGCAATATAGTTCGACCAACGGTCGGTTACCGAGCTAGTACTTCCTATGCGATTGCATGAGAGAGTCATCCAAGTTCGTATCCGAAATTCTCTCCCGCCTCTACGACTCCGCCCCAGTCGACGAAATCAGCTTGGAAATTAAGGGCGCCTTTGACCATTCGACGCTTTCGCTCCGCCGATGAGGAGGATGGAGAGCCCTGGAATTATTTTAACGAAGTGGGATTCGGTTCCCCTGCTTTCAGAATGCTCGCGACTCTGCATCTGGAGGGCTGCCAGGTGTATTGCCAGGGCAGCATCGACCGGCTCGACCCGTTCGTCGATTTCCCCAATCTACACGATCTATCCTGACGCGCGCGTTGCAGCTGGAGGGGTGACTGTGAAGATGATGGCGAGGAGGAACACCCCGTCTGCTTGAGAATCTCCGGGATCAAATTGCTGAATCTGAAGATAGACGTGCGCAACATCGAAGTATTCGCGCAGAATCTCGAGTCCTTCTACTACGGAGAATGTACAAGAGTGGAGATTGGTGAGTTGCATCTTCCTTCCCTTTACCGCGCTTATGTACATATCTCGAATGTACATGGTGGAAATTATAAATATTTAAATTTTATTATTTTAATATTTTTTAATGGCTACGTCACTCATTTAACGGTCAACTATAATAGTTGACTGTCACATCAGCAAAAACTAGCGAAGACTAACGGAGAGTGACCAAACTTGAACTATTGAACTAATCTTAGTGATCATTAATGGAATTAAATATTTGCAGTGACCAAACATGAACGTTTTTAGTAAACCCAGCGACCATCCTTACAATTAATCCAAACTTAGAATGTTCATCTTCTCTAGAATTTTGGATGAATTCTATGGAACCCTCCATCTTTCTCTCTCCCTGTGCCTCAACAATGGCGATGGCGGTGGTCATGCTCAGCAAATTCCCCACCTACCCTGCACGCCATTGCGGATCTTCTTTGGAGTAGATATGGCCATCAATTTGGGTGGAACCGCCATCGTCGCCGTCAACAAGCTGCTCTGTCGTGGAGGCGTGTAACGAACAGGCCTTAAGTGTAAACAACCAGAAGTAGTGATGTAAATGGGAATTGTAGTTTGAGGGAGCGAAGTAGATATTTTCCAAGTTGTATAAAGGGGAGGCGCGTAGACCGTTGTAACCAATTCTGAGATAATAACAAACTTCTCTTTCCCTTCTCTCTCTAAACTCTCTCTCCTTTCTTAGTTCTTCCCTCTTCCTCTCTTCTCCCTTTCTTTGTCTCTTGTAATTCTCCTTCGCCAAGTCAATCCACAGCTCCCAGGGGTGACAAGGTGGTATCAGAGCCTTGAACTTGGCACTCATCAAAAATGGCGGCCACTCGCAGTTCTTTCGATGACCTTCTCACAGCTCATATGGCATCGACATCCCAGGCACAGGGTGAATTGGACGACAAAATCACCGACGTCCGCAACCGATTCAAGGATTTGGTGACTCGATCTGACGGCCATTCGCAGCAATTTGTCAACCTTACCGCTCGTTTAGATTCCATGGAGGCTGGTACAGCGACGCGATTGACTAAATTGGAGGAGCGTCTGGATACTCGTTTTGGCAATTTCACTCACGAAATCAGAGAAATGCTCCAACTGATCGTTAATCCACGGCCTCCGGATCCCATTGCCGATGCGGCGTGTCCGCTGGTTGACCAGAATGTAGCTCGCGACATTCTTCCTCTTCCGCCGCAAGGGTTCAGGGGAGTCGGTCCTGCCGTGGTGCAGGCACCTAGGGTTCCAGCTCCGTTTCATCAGGTTGCTGAGCGGGAGTTCTGTCCGGCTCTGACCCTAGGTAATAATCATCAGCTTCCCCGCCTTGATTTTCCTTCCTTCAATGGCGACGATCCGCGAGAATGGACTAGGAAATGTGAGAAACTGTTTGAGATTTATGCTATCCCTAACGATCAGAAGGTAAATTTGGCGGTGATATATTTCCAACGCCGTGCGGATTTGTGGTTTGAAGGCTGGAAGATTGGTCGACAGGTGATGGTGTGGGAAGACTTTGTGGCGGCACTCTGCCAACGATTTGGCAATCGCACTTATGGTGGTGTGGTTGCTGAGTTCAACAAGCTCAAGCAGCAAGGTTCTTTAGCGGAGTATCAAGAAAAGTTTGGGGAATTGCGTTCATTAATGGCTCGCTTTAATCCAGGCCTGGATGAAATCTATTTCATTAGTAGTTTTATCAGTGGGTTAGAAGAGGAATTGAGACCAGTATTACAGATGTGGAACCCTCAAACCTTGGCCGATGCTTTTCAGCTAGCTCAGTTGCAGGAGGAATCCAATGCAGCCCATCAAAAGAAGTGGCGTGCATCTCATGGGGGTCCTAGTCGTCCAGTGGTGGTTTCCAGTAACACAACTACTTCTTCACCTCGTCGTTGGGATGGTCCTTCTCTGAGACCTGCAGGTGGGGTAAAAGCTCCCGTGGTGAACTCAAAGGGAAATGGAGCGAGAGGAGTATGCTACAAATGTGGCGACAGGTATTTCTTTGGACATGTGTGTGGGCCAAAGAAGCAACTCAACGTTTTGCAGGTTGGAGGAGAAGATGCTGCTAGGGAAGAATGGACTGCAACTGAGGAAGAAGAAGTGTTGGAACCATGTTTGGAGTCACTACAAAGTGAGTTAGAGGAAGTGTCTATGCAGGCACTTAACAGTGGGGGTATGGCCAATTCTTTGATTGTACAGGGCAAGGTTAAACATGACAAGATCTTCATTTTAATCGACACTGGCAGCACTCACACTTTTCTCAGTGAGACGAAGGCTCTTGAACCTCATTGTCAGTTGGTCCCAGCTAGCAATCCTCTTCGTGTGAACCTTGCAGATGGCATAGTACTGCTGAGTCAAATGGTTTGTAAAGGGTTTTGCTGGGAAATGCAGGGTAGGAGGTTTCAATATGATATGAGGGTGTTGAGTCTAGGATCCAATGATGTTGTTCTCGGATTGGACTGGCTCAAAATAATTAGCCCTGTCAAGTTTGACTTCATTGAACTACGTCCGTTTTTTGAATGGAAAGGCAAGGAAGTTATGTTGCAAGGGCTTCAGGATATGGCTCACTGTAAGATGATTTCTGGGAAACATTTGGAGAAATGGTGGGCTAACTCTGAGATTGCTTTTGTGGGGCAGCTCTGCAGTCTGCAGGAAGTGGATCAGTTGTGTAGTTTGGAGGGCAACGTGGATCAGACCAAGCAGCAAGTTCCTGAATTTTTGTTACCAGTTTTACAGGAGTATAATGATGTATTTGGGAAGCCACAATCCTTACCACCTTCCAGAGATTGTGATCATACAATCCCTTTGCTACCAGCATCTCAACCAGTAAACCTGCGACCCTATAGATATTCCATTCCACAAAAAAATGAGATGGGCAGATTGGTTAAGGAGATGCTGGAGTCTAAGTACATTCAGCCTAGCCACATTCCCTATGCTTCACCAGTGTTGTTAGTGCTCAAGAAGGATGGCTCATGGCGTTTCTGTGTGGACTACAGGAAATTAAATGATCAAACTATCAAGGACAAGTTCCCTATCCCTGTGATTGATGACCTTTTGGATGAGCTCAGGGGATCAAAGTTTTTCACCAAGTTGGATCTGCTGTCTGGTTATCATCAAATTAGAATGAGTACCCTGGACCAGCATAAGACATCCTTTAGAACTCATCAAGGGTTGTATGAGTTCACTGTGATGCCATTTGGACTCACAAATGCTCCTGCAACATTCCAGGCTCTCATGAACAAGATATTCAACCCTTACCTTAGACAACTCATCCTGGTGTTTTTCGATGACATTTTGATATATAGCCCTGACCAGGAGAGTCATAAACACCATCTGGCCATAGCTTTGTCAGTTCTGAGGGAGAATTCTTTGTATGCTA